CCAGGGCTGCAGCCTCCCTCTGCCCGCTGAAGCCCTTGGGCAGCACAGACAGTGGCAAAAATTGGGTTCACGCCACCTCTCCACTGGGCCCAAATCCACCCCAGAACAGCTGATGTGGAAGGGCTCCAGCTTCACTTCCTCAGTGAGTGACCCCAGCTGGCAGCAGACACTCTGGGCTCACAGAGAGCATCCCAGCAGGCAGAGAGCCCCAGCCATGGGGCACCAGAGAGAGGTGCCAGCAGCCTGGCAGGGCTGGAACCCAGCTGGTCCCAGCACCAGGCCTCTGCCAGCTCAGACACTTGGCTGGAGCACCCTGAGGGTGGATGAGGATGAGGGCAGGGGGACTCTGAGCTGGGAGATCCTCCCTGAGGTTTGCGTGAAGATGAGGGGAAGGTGACTCTGAGGAGGAGCTGGGAGTCCCTTCCTGAGGGTGGATGAAGATGAGGGCAGGGGGACTCTGAGGAAGAGCTGTGAGTCCCTCCTGGAGGGTGCACCAAGATGAGGGGAGGGGGACTGAGGAGGAGATGAGAGTCCCTCCCTGAGGGTGTACAAAGATGAAGGCAGGGGGACTCTGAGGAGGAGCTGGGATTCCCCTCCCCGAGGGTAGATGAAGATGAGGGGAAGGTGACTCTGAGGAGAAGCTGGGAGTCCCTTCCTGAAGGTGGATGAAGATGAGGGCAGGGGGACACTGAGGAGGAGCTGGGAGTGCCTTCCTGAAGGTGGATGAAGATGAGGGCAGGGGGACTCTGAGGAAGAGCTGGGAGTCCCTCCCTGAGGGTGCATGAAGATGAGGGGAGGGGGACTGAGGAGGAGCTGGGAGTCCCTCCCCGAGGGTGGATGAAGATGAGGGCAGGGGGACTCTGAGCTGGGAGTCCCTCCCTGAGGGCTGTGTGAAGATGAGGGGAAGGTGACTCTGAGGAGGAGCTGGGAGTCCCTCCCCGAGGGTGGATGAAGATGAAGATGAGGGGATGAAGATGAGGGGAAGATGACTCTGAGGAGGAGCTGGGAGTCCCTCCCCGAGGCACCAGCCACACACGGCTCTGGTGAGGGCCACAGAGCATCACAGCGGGGCGGCCGCGAGAGCAGCAGAGCACTGGAGGTTGCAGAGTTTAAATAAACTTGAAATACGACTCAACTTCCTTCCCCAATTTCACAAGCTCCGTTTCCTGCGTCTCCTCGGCAGGCCAGGCATGCTCAGTGCCATGGCAGCTCTGGCACAGGGGATGCTGCTCTCTCTCAAAGCAGCCCTCAGGAGGTGCCCTGAGGGAGCAGCTCTGCAGCCAGCCAGGCCACTCAGGCCTCCAGCCAAGCAGTTTAATGGCTTGGGGGTCAATAGATGCCATCAGCCCTGCCTGACACTGCAGAACTACTGGGCTGAGCTCTGCTTCCTGCAAGCAGCACAGCCAGTCCCACGGCCTGGCGCCCTGTGGCTGCAGGAGCTGGCAGCACCTGGAGGGGCTGTGGGGACAGGGGCTGCTGAGGGGCACCAGCCTCAAATTCCTGTGCCAAGCCTCAAACCAAACCTCCTGGACAGAGGGCAGGAGTGGGGAGCTGCTGCACCGGCTGCATTGCAGGCACCCATTTGAAGGTCACCTACAAGGAGGAAGCAGCAGCTGCTGCCTGAGGAGGACCGGCCCCCAGGCCCTGCTCTGCACCACCATGGCAGGAGGCAGCTCCCTGCAGGCACTGCTACCCTGGCATGGTCTGGCTGAGGCACAGCCCGGCCCTGCTGGCTCCTCCCTGCCCCAGGAGACACAGGAGACACAGAACCTGCCCCAGGAGACACAGGGACACACACAGAACCTGCCCCAGGGGACACCATCCCACTCAGAACCTGCCCCAGGAGACACAGGGACACACACAGAACCCACCCCAGGAGACACCATCACACTCAGAACCTGCCCCAGGAGACAGAGTGGCACTCGGAACCTGACCCAGGAGACACAGGGACACTCAGAACCTGCCCCAGGGGACACAGGGGCACACACAGAACCTGCCCCAGGGATACCATCACACTCAGAACCTGCCCCAGGAGACACAAGGACACTCAGAACCCACCCCAGGAGACACCATCATGCTCAGAACCTGCCCTAGGAGACACAGGGACACTCAGAACCTGCCCCAGGACACACAAGTCATAATCAGAACCCACCCCAGGAGACACAGGGACACTCAGAACCCGACCCAGGAGACACAAGTCACACTCAGAAGTCACACTCCAGGCTAAGGGACAAGCAAAGCAGACCCTGCTGGCAGGGAGGGCGAGGGCAGGGCAGGACCCAGGCCTGCCCTTGCAGACACTGCAGCTCTGAGCTGCAGGTACAAGGTACAGGAAGAAATCAGCCCCTCGGCCAGGAGGAGCTGCTGGGCCTGCATTTCCTTCTGCTGACAGCAGCACTGCTGCAGGTACCAGCCATTTCCCTCCCAGCACGTGGGAAGCCTAAACCAGGTCCCCACAGCTCAGCTCCCAGGCTCTTTGCAGTGCAATTGGGGCACAGGAGGGTCTGCAGGAGAAGATGGGAGCCTGTGAGGCTGACAGTGAAACACCACAGCATCTCTCCCACCTTCTCCTGCCAGACCAAGGCAATCAGCAGGAACTGGGATGCACAGATCAGCATCTCAGTTCAACTGTCCCTATCCTCCCACCCTGGGACCACAGAGATGGGTCCTGATGGCTGTGGTAGCTCTTGACATCACCCCCAGCACACCACCATCACTTCCCAGTGTCCTTGGCCCTTCCCCAGGTCCCACCTCCCTCCCACCAGCAGCGCAGACACAGAGACCCCAAAGAAAGACACAGAGACCCCAAAGAAACAGCACAGCTGGCCCATTCATGTTATTATCAAGGGACAAAAGGGGAGCTTTGATCCGTGTCCTGCTGCATCCCAGAAACATTCAATCATCTCCTCTGTGCTCTGATGGCTGAGAGAGGTGGGATCTGGGGCAGGTTTACTTCAAGGGTCTTAGAGAATCCTGCAGCCTGGCTGCTCCACCGGCAGGGTGTCACCAGCACTGACAAAGGAAAACCTCGCTCTGCTCCAAGCCCGGGGCAGGAGGGGACCCAGCCCCAGCCCCCGGGGGCTGCTGTGGCAGAAGAGGTGGGTGGTCTGCAGGGAGAGCAGCTCAGCCTTGGCACACTCAGCTGAGCATCATTCCCGCACGGCGTCACAACCTGACGGCTTTGTTTGCAGCCTCCTCGCTGCCAGCCCGGCTCCTTTGTCCTCCCGACTCACCTCCAGCAGCACATCCCGCCGTGTGCCCAGCTCTCACCAGCTGCTCTGAGCGGGATGTTGGCTCAAGGAAGGGGTGTGAGAGGGCTGGAGCTCTCCCTCCCTGCCTGGATCCTCCCCAGGATCGCTCCAGCCCCACCGCAATGCTGCATACCCCAGCCACATCCCCACTGCAGTCCGGTAGCCAAGCAGCAGCCAGCCCAGGACCCCAGGGCTGGAGGGGACCTGAGGGATTAGGAGAACCCCGCAGAAAGGACTGCACAGCCGCCATGCCGCGGGGCACCCACCCCATGGCCAGGATGCTGTTAAAAGGCATCATCTCGAGAGAAATGCAGGATGGAGACGGGAAGAGTCCGGGCAGGAGGAAATCCCCACCCCCATGGTCGGCATTACTCGGTTCCCGGGTCAGTGTCCTGGCACAGCCGCTCTGTCCTGGCACAGCCCCCTGCCCCTGTGCAGCCACCCCAGCAGCAGCAGCCGCAGCAGGGGCTGCCCTCACTCCTGCAGCTCCCCCATCCTTCACAGCCAAGCCTGGCCTCGACCCTCGGCCTTTCCAGAGGAGAACGGCAAAAAATCCCCTGGGGCTGCAGGCAGGGCGGGCAGGATGGAGGGGCAGCGGGAGCGGGGAGTGTCGCGGTGCACACACACACACACACGCACACGCGTGCACACGCACACAGCCCCGCACACCCGCGTGCACACGCACACACGGCCCCACACCCACCGCTCTCCCTCCATCGCTGCCGCTGCACCAGCAGCATCTTTTGTGCTGCCGCTCCGAGCAGGCAGGGCGCGGGCAGAGCCCCCCGAGCCCCCGCACGGTGCCCGCAGCCGCCAGCCAGCCCTGCCCGTGCCGGCGGGGCTCAGAGCGGGGGCTGCACGGCGAGTCCGCTGCGGGACGGGCACCCACGGGGTCCCATCCGCTCCGCCACCACCGCGGGCCCGGCAGATGCGGCTGCCCCGGCCGGTCCCTTCCCCCGCGGGACAGAGGGTCCGGTGCCGCTCCGTGGGATCGGGATCCCCTCTTTCGGCGGGGGCTCCTTTCTCCCGGGGGCAGGGAGCGGCAGAGCCCCGCCGCCGCGCACCGGGCCGGCCATGGCGCTCACAAAGACCAGGGTGACACAGGGGGTGTCACCGTTCCCGCGGGGCTCGGCCTCACCCGGCCCACGCCCCCCGAGGTCCGCAGCCCCCCGAACCCCGGCGGGCTCCGAGGCCGCCTGCAGCTCCTCTGAGAGGTGCGGGGCTGCAGGCGCATTGTTCCCAGCACAAAGGACACCGAGATACCGCATCGCTTCCCACCACCCAGCGGGGGGGGCGGGCAGGGAGCCCCCACAATGCCCGGCATCCCGGTGACACCTCGGACGGCCAAAGCCACCCGCGCAGCAGCCGGGAGCTGCCCAGGCTGGGCGGCCGCCGGCTCTGCAGGTGGAGGAGCCGGGGGTCCCGGCCTCGCCCTCCGCCGGCGGTGGGGGCGGGTGGAGGGAAGGCAGCGCCGGAGCCGGTGGGGAGAGGGGGGAGACATCCCGAAACGGTGCGGAGGGGGTGGGGAGGAGAGCGGCGGGGCTGTGAGGGTGCGGCACAGACCGGCCCGGCGGGGTCTCGCTGCCCCGGGCTGGGGGTCGGAGCCGACCGGGCACGCAGCACCCCCCGCCTCGCAGCCGCCGCTGCCGCGCCCGCCCCGCCTTTCGGAACCGGTGCCGGGAGCACCGAGCTCCGCGCGGCCCGGAACGCGCGGCCCGCCCCGCAGGAAGCGCCCGTGCCCGCACTCACCTCACGGCCACCTTCACGCAGCTGTCCGGGGCCGCCATGGCCCCGCACGGCACCGCGGCCGCCGCTGCCCCGGAGCATCCGCGGGGCGGGAGGGGCGGGGCCGCCGACGGGGCGGGGCCTGGCCAGGTGCGGGGCGGGGCCGGAACGGGACACGCCCACAGGGCCGGACCGCGAGCACGCGGCGGAGGGCGCGGGAACCGCTCGGAGCCGGGACACACGGACACAGGGACACACGGACAGGGACACAGGGACACACGGACACAGACACAGGGACACCCGGACAGGGACACACGGACACAGGGACACACGGACAGGGACACACGGACACACGGACACGGACACACGGACAGGGACACACGGACACAGGGACACACGGACACACGGACAGGGACACACGGACACAGGGACACACGGACACAGACACAGGGACACCCAGACAGGGACACACGGACACAGGGACACACGGACAGGGACACACGGACACACGGACACAGGGACACGGACAGGGACACACGGACACAGGGACACACGGACAGGGACACACGGACACAGGGACACACGGACACACGGACAGGGACACACGGACACAGGGACACACGGACACAGACACAGGGACACCCAGACAGGGACACACGGACACAGGGACACACGGACAGGGACACACGGACACACGGACACAGGGACACGGACAGGGACACACGGACACAGGGACACACGGACAGGGACACACGGACACAGGGACACACGGACACAGACACAGGGACACCCGGACAGGGGCACACGGACACAGGGACACACGGGCACAGGGACACACGGACACGGCTCGCACTCACTCCCATTCACACTCACACTCGCCAGCCCCTGCTGCCCTCTGCCGGGTCAGCGGCTCCGCTGCCGCCTGCGCCGTTCCGGGATGTACCGGGATGTACTGGGGTGTTTCAGGGTGTACCGTGACTTACCGAGATGTACCGGGGTGTACCAGTGTGTACCGGGCTGTACCGGGGTGTACCGGGATGTACCGGGGCTGTACCGGGGTGTTACCGGGATGTACCGGAGTGTACCGGGATACACCGGGGTGTATCGGGGTGTGCCGGGATGTACCGGGGCTGTACCGGGATGCACCGGGGTGTGCCGGGATGTACCGGGGCTGTGCCAGCGCTGCTCTGGGATGTACCGGCATGTACCAGGGTGTACCGGGATGCACTGGGATGTACCGGGCTGTACCGGGGTGTACCGGGATGTACTGGGGTGTACCGGGGTGTGCCGGGATGTACCGGGGTGTGCCGAGGTGTACCGGGATGTACCGGGGTGTACCGGGGTGTGCCGGGATGTACCGGGGTGTGCCGGGATGTACCGGGGCTGTACCGGGGTGTGCCGGGATGTACCGGGGTGTGCCGAGGTGTACCGGGGTGTGCCGGGGTGTACCGGGGTGTGCCGAGGTGTACCGGGGTGTACCAGGATGCACCGGGGTGTACCGGGATGTACCAGGGTGTACCGGGCTGTACCGGGGTGTACCGGGATGTACCGGGATGTACCGGGGTGTACCGGGGTGTGCCGGGATGTACCGGGGTGTGCCGAGGTGTACCGGGATGTACCGGGGTGTACCAGGATGTACCGGGCTGTACCGGGGTGTGCCGGGGTGTACCGGGATGTACCGGGATGTACCGGGGTGTGCCGGGGTGTACCGGGATGTACTGGGGTGTACCGGGATGTGCCGGGGTGTACCGGGGTGTGCCTGGATGTACCGGGGTGTGCCTGGATGTACCGGGATGTGCCGGGGTGTGCCGGGACGTACCGGGGTGTGCCTGGATGTACCGGGGTGTACCGGGATGTACCGGGATGTGCCGGGGTGTGCCGGGATGTGCCGGGGTGTGCCGGGATGTACCGGGGTGTGCCTGGATGTACCGGGGTGTACCGGGATGTACTGGGGTGTACCGGGATGTACCAGGATGTACCGGGGCTGTGCCAGCGCTGCTCCGGGCTGTACCGGGGCTGCTCCGGACTGCCCCGCGTGTCTCCACATGGGTGGCATCGCCCCGGCTCCTCCTCGGCTCCCCTGGATCCTGTCCCCTCTGGTGCTGGGGGGGTGACACCGTGGAGCAGCAGAGCAGGGACGGGGCCGAGCTCGGAGCTCCTGGGACCAGGGCCTGGCAGCCCTTTGGGCTGTCCCAGGCTGTGGTCAGTCTATCCTCAGATGATGTGGTGTGCCAGGATGGTGTCAGGTGCCAGCAGAGCTCCCCAGCGTGCTCAGTCCCTGCTGCAGGGCTGGGGTCTGCACAGCAAGGTGGGCACCCACACAGCACAGGGCAGCGCCCACAGAGCCACGGGCTCCATCCTCGGAGCTGCTCTGGGAGGGAAACACATCCAGAGACCGTCAGAGAGCAGGGCTGGAGACAGACAAGCACTGGGGAGCTGAAGGAGTCCCTGTTCTGCCTTTCCTGAGCTGCACTCACATTGCTGGGGCTGAGGGCAGCCGGACACAGCCAGGCCCTGGCTCTGCTGAAGAAAGAATCTTCATCAGGGTGGGACCCACAGGCCACTCCCAGCTCTGCAGGCTGGGGTCAATATCAGGGCAAATAGCAACGGAGCACAAGGGCAAACTGAGGCACTCAGAGGCTTCTTTGGAGGAGCCCAGGCTGTATCCTGGGAGAGGGACAGCCAGGACATGCCAGCACTGATGGCTAACAGCTGGTGAGACAGTGCCGTGCCCAGAACAGAGCCCAGCACAGAGCCCAGCACCTGCCCTTGCTCTGCAGTCTGGGTACCCTCACCCCATGCCCATGTTTGCCCCCCCAAGGTGCCAGGGCCGTGGGCCATGCCCTCCCAGGACTCTGCATCCTGCAGGAGCTCCTCAGCTCTGCTGGCATGGGTAAGGCCCAGGACAATTGTGCTGGTACAGAATCATGGGGGTGACAGGACAGGGCCTGTCTGGCTTCCTGCAAGGATGTGAGGAGCTGGTGTTCCTCTTTCTTTGTCCCATGTTTGCAAGGACACCTGGTGCATGGTGCAGTTCTGAGCTGCTGGTTTTCCTGAGGATGGACTCTTCCCCACTAAAGCTCCAGGCAGAGAGGGGCAGTGACTGCCATGATGTTTTTCTCTTCCTACACCCACCCAGATGCCAGCTGTACCACAAATGACACCTGTCCCCCAGTTCAGCCAGGAACAGCTTAAGAAAGACACACCACACAGGTACCTGGGATGGAGCAAATCATGCTGTGCAGCCACAGAGATGCAGAGCCCCCAGCACGCTGCTCTTGTCCCCACCACGGTGCTATTGTCCCCACCACGGTGTCACCCTTTATGTTTAGAGCCTCCAGTGACCACCCAAGTGATACCTGCAGTCCTGCATCTCCCTAGACCCACCAGGAGACCACAACCACTCCCCCCATGGTGTCCTTGGCATCCCGTGGCAGAGCAGCTGCCAGAGCTGAACTGCCAACCCCATCAGGGTGTGTGTGTGAGGGTGTGGGTGTCAGTGGGGGGTGGCTCCTGCCCCGGGGCACAGAAGCAAGAGGAAGGGGTGCAGCAGTGTCCCCCACACTGCCCATCCCTGCTGGCTGCATGCAGTGGGGGAAGCTGCAGGCACCAGCCTGGCTCTGCTGCTCAGGCTGCAGCTGGAGCTCTGCAGTTTCCTCGATGGAGTCAATAAAAGCCATGCTGGGGAGCAGGCTGCCTCATTGATCTGCTCCTCCCCTGGGACCCATCCACTCTCTGTATTTTAATATATATTAGGTGATCAAGAGCCCCCCAGCTCCCAGTTAGGCTGGGCTGGGGGCCCTGGGGAGCCAGATCCCACTGAGGAGCTGGGCTGGGAGATGGGGCTGCCCCAGGGCTCAGCACCCCAATCCCATGGAGGGCACTGTGGGTCCCCTGGGCAGCCCAGAGAGGAACAGCCTGCCCAGCACCAGTAGGCAGAGCTGGGAGCACTGCAGGAACAGCTCACACTCTCCTGGTCCCACTGAGCTGTGGGATGGATGTCAAGGGCTGAACGAGACCTTCCCAGGGCCAGGGAGGGATGCCTGACCCCAAGAGCACAGTGTGGAAGGGGCAGAAATGGCTTCACAGTGTCCAGCTCTCCTCTTGGCCAGCCCCAGGGCTGCTGCCCCAGCCCAAACATGCTTTCATACCTCTGCCCCAGCCCCAGTTCCACACACAGCTGGGACAGGGAGCCAAGAAGGCCCCAAGGCCCCATTTTACTGCCCAGCCCTGGCACATCTCCTCCTCACAGGCCAGACTTGGCTGCAGGCTCCAGCAGAGACACGAGGATGCAGGGTCCAGCTGCTGGGATTTCAGGAGATTCCCCAGACCTTGGCAATCTCAAAATGACTGACTGGAGCTGCCACGTGGATCACTGCCAGCTCTGGTGACACATGGTGTCACATTTGCAGCCCCCTCCACTGGCTGTGCAGGCAGGAAGGACAGGAGGGGCACCCAGAGTCACACAGCAGGAACACTTTAATGACCTGTCCAGTGGAACAGCACTGTCCTGTTCTGCACCAGCATCCCAGAGACCTGGCCCAAAAGTGATACCACAGCTGGCCAGCGCAGCTCAGGACCCCGGCAGAAGCAGGAACAGGGTGGCTCTGCTCCTGCAGCCCTGAGACAGAGCCCTGGCACTGCAGTGGCAGCTCAGAGGCGAGTGGCAGTGATGGTCTCCTGGGAGGGAGATCCCCCGAGCCCTGGGGATCTGCCCGGTGCCACAGCTGAGGTGTCCAGAGGGGCAGAGCCAGTTCTTGTGCCCTGCAGTGTTTCTCTTCCCTTTAGCAGCTCCACAGCTGCTTTCTCCACTTCATCCACCTGCAGCTGCCTGCTGGCTGCCATCTCATCCCTGGTCACTGCTAGGAAGGACGAGTCCTGGGCCAGAGCCCCGAGGCCTCCGGAGATCAGAGCCTGGCAGAGGAGGAGAGCACAGCCTGGGTGCTCAGCCTGGGCACTGCCCTGGCTGCAGGCACCCACCCTCCCTCCCTCCTTCCCTCTTCTCCTCCCTGTGCCCTCTGTGCTGGCACACAGCTGCTGCCTGTCCTTGTGGCTGAGCTGTGAAGATGAGAGGAGGGGACTCTGAGGAGGAGCTG